ATAGTAAATTTATATAGTAATCTGAGTCACATTTTACTATGATTATTCTTCAGTTGACTGAAGGATCATCAATTAAATAAAATATTAATGTTGTTAGTTTATTTTTAGGTTGTTGCGTAAGGTGAGATCCTTGAGAAGATGAATCATTGTATTAGAAGCAGAGTTAGAAGAAATTCGGTTTTGGGAGGCAGAGTTAGTAGAGAAAAATTAGAGAAAAGATGAAAAATATTGGAGGGTTGTTTAGGAGAAAAATCAGTTGCAAGTTCAGGTTGCTGAGTTGGAGAAGCATATAAATAGTGTTGCAATAAATTTAGATGTAGAATTTGATATTTAAAATATATTTGTTTTTCTATATTTTTCTTTTTTCTATTTTTCTCTTATATATATATATTTTATGTTATTTTCTTTTTCGTTAAATAAATAAAAAAAATTGATAATAATAATAATAATAATAATAATAAAATTAATCATTCGAATACTTCAACTAAGAGCTACACTGAACTTGGTACCTAGCAGGTAGCTTTCTTAGCCAGTCTTGAACCTGGGTCTGCAAATGGTAGCTCTCTGCTATGACTGTTAATCTATAATCTAAATAATACTAAAAATTTTAATATCACTCCTTATAGATATTAATAGAAGTACAATCACATGTTAATTTTTTTTCAAATTTTCTTTAGAAAAATTATACATGTCTATATAAGTATTGGGCTGAACATTGTAGTTCATTGGTTTTGTTGATTTCGGAGTTTGAATAATAATTCCAGATCTAAAATTTCAACTTTTGTTAATAAAACCTAAGTTTGAAATTATCAAACATTTGCATCTAAGGATATTAAATATCTAAGTTCAAAAATTTTCTAAATATCTAAGTTTCTAATAAAATTCAAGTTAAAATTTATTTCTACTTTAATTCTAACTAACAATTCTGATTCTTATAATAATTTGTAATAAATAATAATATAGATACTAATATAGTACTTAAATAATAATTATAAAAAATGAAATAACAATATAGTTTAAAAATATATATATATATATATAATAAATAAAATAATAATATATAAACAATAAAAAAAAATAAGTTAATATTAATAATATTATTAATAAATAAAAAGAATAAGTTATTAGAATAAATAATAATAAAAAAAATTCAAGTAATATTAGTAGTTTTGTGGTCTTTCAGGTGTAGATATAGGTCTCAATTTTACAAGTGCTAGTTTTATTTCCCTAGTTAATATAAATATTTATTTTCTTTTTCAACGGCTTCTAGTCATTATCAGGCTATGATTTAAGTAATGTCTCTTCTCTCATTTGGGCCATTGGGTAGATTCAACATTTTTCATTCTTTTGTAAGTCTTGTGATATAATTCATGTGATTTTTGGTATTTATATTCTTAGATCACCGGTTATACAATTCTCTTTTACTTATTGATCCAACTTTTTCATTTATCTTATTTCAACTCTATTTCACTTCCTTTTATTTATTTATTTATTTATTTTTTTTTAATTCTTTGACAGTCTTGCCAGCGCTCAATTTATTTAAAACTATATTTAGGTGAGAGTTGAACTCCCTCGAACAATATATATCATTCATAACCATAAACGGCATCTAGCGATTGCGAGCCTGACATTACCCGGCTGCAATAAATATGTCCATATGCGACTTGTCACACCAACCTGTATACAAGTTAGATAAACTTTGTCAGCCTGTCAAAGCTTTTCCCTTCATATTCTTTTTCTTTACTGAGAGCAAAACTTTTATTTATTACTTTTCTATTTATTACTTTTTTTTGATTTATTTTTTCTTCCTATTACTTATAAATGATCTATTTCTTTTTAATACCCTTTAAGATTAGGTCTTGATCATCGATCTTTTCGTCATCCTTCATGTGTCAGTGTCTTTCAGTTATACTGTAAATTCCAATACAGTAGTAACCTTCTGTAATCAATTTTGGCATGTGGATCTTAAGCTTTCTTTTGCTTTATAAAATGTAGATCACTTTGATCTTGGTTGCTAATGTTTTACTTTTCTTCTTAATTATTAGGTTGATCTTGGATTACTTGATTGCTTCAGCTTTTTGTCACATTGGTGTCTTCTCAAGTTGATCGTGAATTCCTATGCTTTCAAATCAGTAACTTTTGTGTTCTATTTCTAGTAGCTTGGCAAGTAGTTCTTCAAGCTAGATTTGGTAGCGGATTTGTTCCAGGATTCTAACATGGAACTTAGATCAACTTCGATCTTTAGATACTTTCATATATGGGGACTTTTTGTTCTTCTATTTCCCATTTCATTGACCTTGTTTTCTTTTCTTTTATAGAGGACTGTTGATGAAGATCTTAGGGCTTCTATCATCACTAGATTCTTGTTAGTGACTTTGTATATCTTGGAGTCTTTTCTTATTAATACTCAATAGGCAGTATCGATAATAGATCCTTGTCAATATTCAGGTGAAGCAATATTGACAATGAGTATTTTAGATTGAATAGAGATAGTATAGTTTCCTTCTTGTCTTGTATATTTATTTGCCTTTGGGGTTTCTCCTTTATTTCACATATTGATATCTTTCTTGTAGATCTAGGGCAGTTATTAAGTAGATATTAGGTCTTCCATATGGCATTCAAGTTAGTAAATTTGCAATGGCAGTGATTCTTCTTTTACAGTCGAATTTGTAGGTTTTCTATTAGCAATTGTTTATTCTTTTAATAATTCTAGTAGACGCTTTCATCATTGAAGAGCCTCAATCGGAAAGGTTGTTTCAAGCTTTGATTCAAGTATGTATAAGTTTCAACACAAATAATTGATTTGGAATTCAGCACCCAGTAGCTATAACAAAAATATAATACTAATGATAATTCTATTCATAACACCAGAGAGTACTATAACTTCAATTAATTATAAATCCACACTAGAATAACACTAGAGAGTACTATAACTCCTAATTAATCCATACTAGGATTAATTCTAATAATAAAAAAACAATAATACTAATAATTTTTATGCACACCAGGATACATTTTCACATTATATCTTATGGGCAGGCTCACCTTTTGCATATAACAAAGTCCTTTTTAGCATACGGCTTATCGGCAGGCTTACTAACTAGCCTTTTTGCATGACAGCTTACAGGTAGTGCCATCTTTCTAATGCCTCTTTAGCGTATGGCTTACTGGCAGGGTGACCAAACAAAAAAATAAATAATTCAACGATTCTAATAAAAAAAAACAATTTTCAAAAAAAAAAAAATCTTCCAATTGGGTAATTTATATCAAGGCAATTTCCAATTGTCCTTTGCGAGATGTATAAAGGTCCATTTAATTTCAGATAAGTAATTTGTTTTGTGTCTCTTCTTTTTTTTTTTTTTTTTATCAACTTCCAAAATTCATATTTAACTTTTATTTGAATTCAGTTTTCTATTTTAGGTCTTTTAGATAATCGAACTTCTACCTGGTCTTGAAAGTCTTATTGTAAGTTTGCACTGCTTTCATATTGGCTTGCATTCCTCCATACCTTGGGTGTTAGACAGATGCTTTCAAGACTTTGAGGTATATAATAGTTTGATAGAGCTTCCATTCATCTTATTCCAGATAAGTAATTTCTTTAATTAGATTGATTTTATCACACTTAAGTTTTGTTTGAATCCTGTTTATTTCATTTGACTGCTTTCTCGAGCAATTAGTTGTTGAATTGTACTTTCTAATAAATTCTTTGATTGCTTCGTTAAGACCTTCGGCCTATATATTGATCGTCAAAATAATCCATAGTAGAATGTCTTGACATTTCCATCTTTTGTTAGTTCCATCTTTGGTTGTATTTGTATTTTGAGCTTCAGTGGAATAAATATTGAAGGCTGTGATAAATTCTACAAATGCCGTTGAATTTGATTAGTGATTTAAAAGTCTATTATCAATATATTTGCATAAATTATTTATATCAGCTTCTATCATGCTGATTTACTTTATCGATTAATATGTGCTTCAATAATGTCTGGGCCATGCTTTACTGATCAAGGTCCCAATCCAATTTAATCTGCTATTGTAAAGTCCAGTTTTATAATATATTAATATAGTTCTATGTCTAAGGTTATTTAAATAGTTGACTTTAGGTCTGACTTAGCTGTTTTACTATATATTTTCTAGTCACAAGTTATATATATAACTAAGCTTTCTTCTAGGTTTTTTTTTAATGCTAATTGTTTGAATAAAATCTGATTGATTATATCCTTATAGTTTTATGCCAAGGTCTGCTAATAGGTTTTGGTTTATTTCGCGAATCAGATCACATGTTAGGCATTATATTCCGGACATGTGGTCTTGTTAGATTACTATATTATCTTTACTTATAACATATTAGGTTCTCTATTTTAAACATGTTGCTAGTACATACGATAGGCAGGCATAATAGTTTTCCAATTAAGTTAACTATTAATATATGCGCATTGGGTACTTCTATTTAGGACATGTAGATTGTACTTCTACCCAGGCTATGAATATAGTTGCTTAACTTCTGGGATAGGCTTTAGTATATTTCCACTCTAACTTTGTTTTCCAGAATAAGTTTGTCTTTCCAATATAAATTTTACCTTCTGAATAGTTTTAGCTTTCCAAATATTCTTTAGCATTTCTAGATCATTTTTAGCTATTAGATAATCTTAGCATTCTGGCTAAATTTCAATTTCCGATATGACATTTAATTTCACAGTGTGGTTTTTGGCATTTCTTGATAATATTAAGCTTTTCGGGATAATGGTTTGGCTTTCTGATGATGTTAAGCTTTCTGGAATAATAGTTTGGCTTTCCACCAGGAGACACCAAAATGTTACAATGCTATGACCTTATTGGTTACCATGTAGCAAGATAACAAGGTCACCCAATACAGGGACCCTGCTATTGGGGTATATATGGGGTGGAAGTAGAATATGCACTACTTGCACTAGCAGAAGGCAAACGGTTCAATATAGGGGCAGTATATGAGTTAATACTTTATTTATTTATAGATCAAGGAGGATAACCTCATCTACTAGGATTACCCTAGAGGGAGTATATCACTTTATACAAAGACAAAATGTGTAAGAAAGTAAGGCTAGATACTATGAGAGGAGTAGAGAAGGCTAACTAACTCTAACTTGAGTAGAAGGGGCAAAGGCTCCCTTTTATAACTTTTCTACATATAAGAGATATAATAGTATAACTGCTAAACTGTATAGAGGTACTAAGAGGTACTCGTACAAAGGTACTGAAAGATACTCGTATAGAGGTACTGAGAGGTACTAATGTAGAGGTACTGAGAGATACTCGTGTGAAGGTACTGAAAGATACTTGTATGGAGGTACTGAGAGGTACTCATGTGGAGGTACTGGCAGGTACTTGTGTAGAGGTATTGACAGGTACTCGTGTGGCATTACTGTGTCTCAATTAACTAGCCAATAATATTTCTATAACTAATACAATACTAATAAATATAACTATAATAATAACTAATACTTAAATAAATATAACTAATACTATATGCAAATAATAAACTATAATCTACACTATACTATGCTAATGTTACATTGTGTTATAATCTGCTTTGTAACAACGGCTTTGAAGAGCTAAATAACAAAAGAAAAACTAACTATAAACTTGCTGTTTTTTTTATATATTTGAATATTATCTGTTGTAATTGTGTAATGGTTTCAAGCTTTCAAAAAAATTTGAATTTAGATAAAATAAGATGAGAATCATATACTTCAAAAAAAAATAAAAAACAATAAAGAATCAATTTTTTTTTAAAAAAAAATTTGCTCTATAAAAAAGAAAAAAAACTAACCACAAATCTTTATTTTCAAACTAATACACAGATGCTTAAAAATACTATTGTCCTGTACTAATGCATTTGAATTTATTGCATTAGGTAAATAAAGAGATAGTTTAGTAATTTCAAGTGAATTAGCGAGTGTGCTTATATTGCCTTGCATTCTTTTTTTTTTTATTAAAAAAAGAAGAAAATCGATTACAAACTTTTATTTTTTTTTTTACACTATACATGGGTGCTCCACTCAAAATATTTTATCTTGAATTTTCAAAAATACTGTTATTTTGTATTGAAGTATTGAATTTATCATATCAGGTAAATAAGAAGTTCAAGTAAATTAGTAAGTAAGATTATATTGTTTTAATGGCACCTCACATTTCCTATTGTAATTGAATTGTGTATTTTGAAAAAATTTTTTTATTAAAAAGGGAAAACTAATTACAAATCTTTATTTTTTATACTATACACGAGTGCCTTGTTCAAAACGTTTATGTGCTTGCTTTCTCGAATTCTTTTATGCATTTGAATTTATCGTATCAGTTAAATAAGTAGTAATTTTAAGTTAATTGGCAAATGAGCTTATATTACCTTGATGACATCTGCCTTCTTTTCGTAGTTGAATTGTGTATTTCAAAAAAAAAAAAAAAAGAAAACAATTAAAAATTAATCTTTCTTAAAAAAAACTTTTTACATTATTAAAAAAAGAAAAAAACTAACATGAATTTTTATTTTTAAACACTATACAGATGTTTGCTTAAAACATTTATATACTTTTAATTCTCAAAAATTCTATTGTTATGCACTAAGGCATTGTATTAGGTAAATAGGGAGATGATAAGTAATTTCAAGTGAATTTGGATTAAGGCGTTTATTTTCCACGATGATGCCTGCCTTATTTTCACATTTCCTATTGTAATTGAATTGCATGCTTTAAAAAGTGAAAAAAATTACAAACCAACAAAAAAAAAGAAAAATACTGATCTTAAACTTTTATTTTTTATATTATGAAGATGCTTTGCTCAAACCATTTTTGTGCTTACTTTTTCAAATTCTTACTGTTCTACACTGAAACGTTTGAATTTGTTATATCAGGCAAATAAAATAAATAAAATAATGTAGTAATTCAAGTGAATTAGCAAGTGGTTTATATTGCCTTAATAAAGCTTGTTTTATTTCCTATTGTAATCGAATTAAGTACTTCAAAAAAATTTTTTTATAAAGCAATAAAGGATGAACTTTCTTTTAAAAAATTTATTTGTATTAAAAGAAAAAAAGTTAATCACGAATCTTTATTTTTATATTATGTACAGGTGCTTTGCTCAAACCATTACATCTTTCTTTCTCATTTTTAAAAATACTATTTTCTATTGAAGCATTTGAATTTATCATATCAAGTAAATAAAGAGATAATGCTATAATTTCAAGTTAATTGGCAAGTGTGATATAATGCCCTGACAATGTCTACAGTTATAAGAAAGCTGGGTCCAGTCAAAACCTTTTTTATATTAAGAATTACTTGTATGCACTTTAAAAAAAAAAATAAAAAATAAAAAAAGACATCATGCTAATTTTTTTTTTTTAATCTTATTTCTATATTCTGAAAAAAATAAGTTTTATATTTCTGTGATAAAAAACAAGTTTCATATTTTAGCAACTACAAATTACTAACCTTTTGTTTTTTTTTATATTCTAGCTTTATTTTAGATTTTCTATTATATAATAATAAGAATAAGAAAGGTTTTATATTTTTAAAAAACTGAACTAACCATATACCACTGTTTTTCTTAAACCTACAAAAAAAAAAAAAATACTAATAAGTCTGCTATATGATATTATAGCAAAAAATAAGTTTGGGCATTCAACTAATCACCGAACCTGCTTTTTTAAAGCCCCAAGTTTACACTTCCAGTTTTATTTAAAATTGCACCCGAATTGAGTACAAAAAACAGCCACCTTTTTGTAACTAGTTTTTTTATATTATTCCTTATTTAGATTTACTATATATTCACTATGTACTCACTATATATACTATATAATGTTGATTCAATTCCTATTAGAAACTTATATGATTGTCAAATTCATTGATGCATCTTATCAGTTATTTGATTATTAAATGACACACCTAATTTGACACATTTATGTTTATGTTGTGATCTACATCACAAATCACGTGCTTTTTAGTATAATCTGATTTAGCATAAGTATCCACAATATATATACTATATATATATATTTTTTTAGCTTTTTAACAATCTTATTAGTACTTTTATTAAAAGATAAAAAAAATACATATAAAATCTACTCTAATATCTATATATAGTATATCAGCGAAATATATTAACGTAATTTTACGTAAGTTATTACGGCCCAAAATATTGCGCAATAATTACGGTCTGGACATAATATTGCGCAAAAAATTGCGAAATATTGCGCAATAAATAATGTAAAATTACGAAATATATTACGCAAAATTACGAAACTTATAGCGCAAAATTACGTAATGTTTTGCGGAATATTTCAAATTAGTTCGAAACAATTCGAATAGAGGTAAATGCATCAAAACAGAAAAAATATAAACTAAAAGATAGCTACTAATTAGAAAGAAAAGCTAATAAATTCGAAATATTTCGGACTAATTCGAAATAAATTAAATACAAATACGAATAATAGGAAATATATTTAAACGCAATAATTATACGATTTATTAGAGTTTTTCGAATTATTTCGAAAGAATGCCAAGTTTATTGTATTTATTTAAATAAACAAAATATAAATTTTATAACTTAAAATATATTTTATTAATAATTTTATTTTTTATTTTATTAAAAATTTTAAAAATTACATAAAAAAAAGCTTAATTATAGAAAATCCTAAATGAAATATATAAAAATAAAAGAAAAAAACGCAGCATTATTCAAATAAAAAAAAATCAAAGCAAAAAAATAAAAACGTTTACTTATCATCATCCGTATCTTTCTCATCATCAACCGTAACTCTCTTATCATCATAATTATCATCATTGTTTGAGGCCAAAGAATCATCATCTACTGGTATATTCATACCTACTTCGGGTACTTCTTCTTCGTTAGTTGTGTCTTCATCCGAACTAATTCGAACTCCTTCGGAGTATTTATGAAAATAAAAATTAAAATTAGATAATTCGAATTATTGCGAATTAATTCAATTAAAGTTAATTTTGT